CCCACCACGTTTTTGAGAACTCTCAAAAGCAGGCTAATGCAGAATTATATGTACATATACTATCTATATATATATATATAGATAGACGCCTATACGTATAAACATATACATATGTACATATACATATAAGTATATATGAACATATATAACAGTATGGAATAATGTATGTAGTATAGTGTGGTATGATATGGTATGGTATGGTAGGGTATGATATGGTATGGTATAGTATAGTACAGTATGGTATACTATAATGGAATAAGAGTTCAACATTTGTATAGCAACGCAATTAAGTATAACATAACATGTTGTAGCACAAGATACTATAGTATAATATACGCTGTGCCAGGATGATTTGGATGATGATGGCGGTGCTGCTGCTGATGATGATGACGAAGCTGATGCTTCTGGTTTGATTCCTGCTCTTCATATGTCATATGCATGAAGATCATTGTGATGAACACTAGGTTTGGCGATTTCACACTGAGGAAGAGTATGATGAAGCTGAAGATGGGCGTGATGATGTTGATGATGGTGGTAACAGTCATAGTGTTCCGTGGCTGTGGCGGTGATGATAATGAGGGAGGGCATGAAGCTGATTGTGGTGATGATGATGGTCATCATGATGTTGTTGATGATTTTGGCGGTGACGCGGGTCATGTTGCTAGTGGCATGCATGCTTGTGAAGAAGGAGACTAGGATGATGTACTGAGGACACTTTACGGAGCAGGAGTCGGATGGGAATAAAGATCAGGATCGGCACCACGATTCCAATCGCGTTCGTATGGTACGAGCAGGAGAAGGACAGAATCTGACAAGGAAGACGAGGAGGCATGGGAGGAGGAGAAGGTTAGGACAAGAACGAACCGGAGGACGGCGGCCAGGACCAGAACGAGGAGGAGGTGGAGGAGGTGGAGGAGGTGGAGGAGGTGAAGGAGGTGGAGGAGGATCACGTTGTGACTTTGAGGACGAGGACAATGAGACACAGGAACACGAGGCTTCTGCTGAGCATGGTGATTGTGGCTACGGTGAACATTCGGGTGATGTTGAGATTCATGAAGTTTGTCTTTGCTATTGTTGATGACGACTGTTCTGACGATGATTGGTCCTGATGTTGTTGCCCATGAAAGTCATGTAAAAGGTCCTGTTTGACCTCGGACGGTAAGTTGATCTTGACTGGCTGTGCATCTTTCTGCTGAAGAAGGGATGCTGGCGGTGGGGCACCCTGAGGATGTCTTGTGAGCAGTGGGAGGGAGGGGTGGATGAGCATGGCAAGTTGAATTGAATATCATTGAAGCTCATTCATAGCACGTCCGGGCATGGTGTCGGAATACCATTCGCAGACCGACCTCCTTCTCAAGACGGACAAAAAGGAAGCTCAGGAATGAGCGACAGCTTCTGTAGCCGGTTTCTTCCCATCGCACGGACCCGCCGAATTTTTCAGAGCCATCGTACTATGGAGACTGATTTACTTGGGCAGGTTTGTATGTGTGTCGTTTGGCACGTCTCGGCAAGCATGTGCCGTCCTTCAGCCAGCGGGGTCGCATTTTTGGTGCTGTCGAATCTGCGGGTGACACGTTAAAACACGTGCGCAGCTCGTAGATCGAATTTGCCTAAGTGCAGATGCCCTCATATCCTGCTTCGTGTCTCATACTTGAGATGCAGCCGATGAAGTGTCACCCTGTCAATGCCGTTCATCTGACCAGTGTATCCTGAAAAAATTAGCCAGCAAGCTCTCGCGGCTTTGTTGCTTTAGTCGTCCGGTCAGCTGACTAATGTAAAAGTAGCAGGCCGAAGACAGCCTGGATCGTGAGCGGTGCGGTAATCAAAAATGAAGCTGATGCTGCTGCATTGATGATTGCCATTTTGCGTGTCACGAGTTGGGTCGTAGAATTACCAAAGATCGCCAGCAAAGATCGCCAGCTCTTGCCACAGATCTGACTGTGCGTTTCCTTCCCGCCTGAATGTTTTCGATTCGAAGCCTGGCCCTGAACATGGGCCACTTAACCTTTGTGCTTAGAAGTATTGCGAGCTGCTTGACATGCTGCTGTTATCGTTCCAGATTTTCTGACATGACGCATCACACCCTGTTACTCCTGAGTAAGAACTTGCGCAAGTGGCCTAACACTTTTTTCCTCCTGCCGCTCCTTGGTCTTCTCTCCGCCTGCTGCTGTCCTCGTTTCTCTCGGCACGTAGTCCAATTGAGTTGGGGCCAGGTCGTGGTTCGCCCTGAGTTTGAGGCTTTTTTGATGTCGGGCCACGGTATTCTCCCGTCACACTTCCAGGATTCCGCAGGTTCATTATGAATAGCAGCTGCTGAGGTGCCCATCCAAAGCAGAAAGGCCGGTGTACCTACGAGGTGGACTAGGGCCGGAGCACGGATGCTTCTCCCGTGGTTGGTTTAGGGTTTATGGTTTCGGGTTGAGGGTTGTAGGTACATCACCTGCAGCTTTGACATCAACAATGGTGGATTGGACCCGCAGGCATCGGTCGGAAGCTTACCTAAGGTTGCCAGGTGAGTCCCGTGCATGCTTCTGAGGAGCCCATGCCGCTTGGTGGTGGTGCACGACTTCGACTACGATCTGCAAGTCGCACGGCCGGGTGACAGGGATTTCTCTGTGTGAAGTGGGCTGCACACCGGCATGTCGACTGCCGTACATCGCTGCATGAAAGAGGGTTCCGGGATTTAGAGCTTGAGTCAGGAGTCTTGCTGCAAGACGAGACCTCTGCTTTTTGGCCCAATCGTCTAAGACCGATGCTCCCTGCACATGCTCCCAGATGTAGCGATGCAATCGGACAAGGCCGTCAAATTGGCTGTCGAGGTCCGTGGTGCAGATCATGACCTCAAGGAGATGTACGAGATTTTCGAGGGATCCGTGCAGCACAAGGACGAGGCCTCTCCATTAGCTCCCGAGATTCGCGGCGCAGATCATGACCTCAGGGAGATGTACGATATGTTTGAGGGATCCGTGCGGGATGAAATCAGGCTGCTCCATGACTACGTTCGGGTGCAATTCTCGGCGCAGGCAGAGCATCTGAGAGAGTTGAGCTCGCAGCTGCGGAAGGGATCTTTGCAGGCCTCCCAGCAGTCAGACGGACGCCCAAATCCGGAAGACATCGACTTTAGCAGACTGGACAGGCTTTTGGCCTCTCACGGTTTGGATCTGCATTTCGAGAAGTCTCCTGACGTGCGAGCTCCGAACAATCCTCTCGAAGGTGTCGGGCAGCTGTTGGCAGAACATGGCATCATCCCGGACAATCCCAAAGGGCCCAAACCACCGAGGGTTTCAGATAACGTACTCCAAGTACCGCTTCAAGAGAGCTCTGCACCGTCTGCGGAGTCTTCGCAGGATCCGCGTGTTTCGGAGTCCCACTCCGTTGCAAGCCTGCGTTCAGCGCACCAGCATGAGCAGCAAGAAGACGGTGATAGCAAGAATCCGCCCGAAAGTCCGCATGCCCCTAAGCGGGATAGCTCTCGCTTCAGTTTCGTCCGTTCGCAGATGGTTGCGCAGCAGAGGGTTGCCAGAGCTGCCGCCTCTCGCGTGGAGCGTGCCATATCACTCGCTCCGCCTCAGCATGAGAATTTATCGCTAAAGGACAGGATCGGACAGGTGGTTGCGTCAAACCTCTTTGTGTATGGCATCATGGCTCTGATCTTCATCAACCTGCTCATGCTAGGAATTGAGGTGGAAATCTCTGCATCATTGGGAACAAATGACATACCCCAATGGTTTGAGATCGTCAACCTGGTGATTGTAGTCATATTTGTTCTGGAAATCACATTAAAGTTCTTCGCGTTTGGGTGCCGGAAATTCTTCGTGGGTCCTGATGGACAATGGAACATGTTCGATCTAGTCATTATCCTATTGTCTGTCCTGGAGACGGCCCTGGACGGATGGGCCGCATCACAATCTGCATCACAGGTAGAGTTGAGCCACCTCCGTGTCATGCGCTTCATGCGCTTGGCTCGGACGTTGCGTGGAATCCGAGTCATTCGACTGCTCCGCTATGTCGGCGCCTTGCGAACTCTTGTGTTCTCCATCCTGAACACAATGAAGTCACTGTTGTGGACGCTGATCCTTCTTTGCTTGTTACTTGGCTGAACTTGGAACGATGATGATTTCCGAGCGCGAAGCTGCAGATGGACAGGAGGGGCAGTGTAGGCTGCGATAAGAGCTTGGTGGCGAATGGAATGCCTAGGAAAGCGTACTGTGTTGTCAATCAAGACATGGGTAATTCTCTAAATTGAGGCCCCTTTTAAGGTCCCTTTTATAAAGGGTGCCGTGCCATATTGGAGACCGACAAAGCGACCCTAAAATAGCGAGCTACCCACATCCAAGAGCCTGGGTCGACTTGGCCGGCCCATATTAGGATCCACCTGCCCGGCACCGACGTGCAGAACCGAACCTAGCCGAATGGTAGGGACCTCCTGCAATGTTGACAACCAGGTCGAGACACTGCATGCACTGGTCGCACTCACATGACAAGGAGAGTCTTCTAGGAAAGGTCGGAGATAGCACAGCCTGGGCCGGAGAAGTCGACCTTTGCTACGGTTTAGGAGCAGATGGCATCTAATTACTCCTGCAAGCAACAGTTGTAAGCATGGTTAGCATGATCGCAGCAAACCTAGCGACCCGGTACGGGACTCGTAGGAACTGTAGGGCCGAAAGCAGCGCTGTTCTACGGTTCGCGTTCGCGCAGCCTCTGTTTCTGAAGCCTCATATTTCCCCAGCATAGGCACTTGTCCGTGCTAGTTAAACTCGTCAATATTTGCCGCATTAATCTCTCCTGATGCAATGCAGTTGGTATTGTCACTGAAACTGCAGATGTCAACCTCTTACAGCCAGTCAGCCAGTCGTCGTCACTATAACCCAGTTTGATGCACGCTGCCGAGAGATGCGGCAAGGCACTTTGGCGCAAACAGCTCCGCCGTGAGCATGCATGTGTTGCTGTCCTGGTGGTTCCATTTGCAAGTTTTGGAACCTGACATTGGGGTCCTTTGGGTCTGCTGAGTTTTCCAAAATCCTCGGTTCCGTCACCTCACTCAGCATATGCTGAAGCGACACTGTTGGTGCAGACGTTCGGCACTACAAAACAATAAAGGACTGATTCGATCGTTCGGCCATCAGCTCGCCACGAGGTTCTCAACAAAGGCGTGGCAAAATGTTCTGTGTGCTTCACGGAGTGTGTGGATTCCCTGAGCACATAAGGTTCATTCATGCTCCCGTTATGCCAAACTCGAAACGAAATCAGCCCGGAAAGGGAACCCTTGGCACCTCGAGTTTTTCAGCTTTTCAGATTAGAGCCTCGTGCCGCCATGTCAGGGCCTCCACGTGTTAGTCCGCTCCGGTGGTCATGACAGCACGTAAGGTGCTGAGATGTGCTGAGCGAGGCCTCTGCTGATAGACTCGTTAGCCGAGATCCGAGTGTCCCACAGGAGCCTGTTAGCTGCTCTTTCCAGCCGGTCACTGCTTTTCGTCAGCGTGGCGTCCAGCCCACGTACGATGCGGAAGCCTTGGTGGGAGCCATTTTTGGCCCTCTGCCCGGCCAAAGCCAGAATGCGGATGATGTTGCCATCGCTGCAGCTGCGGTCCATGTCAGTGCGGAGAGCGTTGCAAACATGGAAGGGCGAAGCAGAGAACTTGTCGGGCAGTGCACGTCTGCACACAGTGACACGTGAGCGAATGAAAGATTGTTTCGTGCTTGCTACCAGTTAAGAAGCAAACAGAGAAGCAACTGCTGAAGCCGTTGCACTTCAAATTTCAGCTTTCCCTCCACACCCGCCCGGAGGAAGTTCTGCGGACCGACCAGTTCGCCTTTTAGAGGCTTGAGCGAGTTGGCTGCGACCAGTTCGGACCACACCACTCCGCGGGTAGTGGAACTGTTCGTACGCACTTTCACGAAGCAGAGAATTTGTCTTTGAGAACGTTGCCCGAGTGTGTGGTCCAAGCGATTAGTGGGGTGTAGATTGGAACGGGGTACTTGTTTAGCGGGGACCAGTCACTGATCTGTGATTCTGTGCTGTGTCATACGATTTTTGCAACGGTGTTCCGCGTCACGCTGTGCTCACAGGTTATTTTATTCTTTCGGCGTGGTGTTGACCCAGCTTGTTCAAGATCAATGCCGGTACGAAGCGATTGCAGCTACCGGAAACACCAATGCAGTGCCCCATTGCGAAGATGGTGTGCTTCATAAGTATTGGTCGAGCATCTTCGAAAGTATGTTGACGTTGTTTATGGCCATATCAGGTGGTTTGAGCTGGGGTGAAGCATTGGATCCGTTGAAAAGCTTTTCACTGATTGCAGTGGCCTGCATGGTGTTCTATGTGTTAATCGCAGTATTTGCAGTTATGAACGTGGTCGCTCGGACTTTGATAGCAAGATGTTTGGGTTCGCACGCGCTTCTTGTCGAGAGTTCCTAAGACGTTAAGAGCGTACACACCATTTTGTGCCAGTCGCATGTTTTTCAGGTTACTGGTGTTTTCTGTAACACAGCTATCGAGAGTGCGAACTCCGACCGCGACATCAGAGCCATTGAGCAGTTGAACAAGCAGACGACTTTGGTCAAATCTTTGAAAGAGCTCTTCCAAGAGATTGACCATGACAATTCGAACATGGTCAGCATTGACGAGTTCAGGACAGCTGTGAACACCCCCAAAATGTCTAGCTTTCTCGAATCGATGGGAATATCAACTCAAGATGTGTGGACATTATTTACCATCATTGATGCAGATTCAAGCGGGCTGATTGATCTGGATGAGTTCGTTGGAGGATGCATGGAGTTGCACGGGCCAGCAAAGAGCTTCCAGATGTCGAAGATGAGCTATGAGAACAAGATTACACGGCAGGCAATCAAGAAGCTTGTTAAAGAGACCTCAGACGTGAAGAACCAACTCGTGTTTGCTGTCCGGGCCCTTGAGGTAGCAGGCCGTAAAATGTGACGTCAGTTCGTCGAATCCTTCTTCTTGCGTTGAAATGTCGAAGACACTTCGATGCAGATACTTTCATAAGCTGGCTTGCGAACACCTGCAAGATGTGATGCTGACGGTTAACGGGCTTTGCAAGGCAGGCGCAGATTTGCCAAAACCAATCTCGAAGAGATTTGACATCGACCAGTGCTTCAGAGACAAGTGTTTCTGGCAGAGAATTTTGGGATGAATGCATGAAGTCTCGCTGTTACAGTAGCCTGTTGTAGGTCTTTTCTTTTTCATGAAAAGCAGGCATCAGGACGCAACTGGGCTCTCGCTCAGAAGTCGGCGGAATCAGAGGCCGGGCTTCCTTGCAAGGCTCTACAGGCTCTACAGCTCTCTCTTCTCCATGTCCTGTCAAAACCCATGCCGTAGCTTTGGTGAGGCCGCGCGCCTGGCTGCCGTGCCCAAACGCTTGCGCCTCAAGCCTTGTCTGTTGCATCTTGAAGCGCCCCTCATGTCACACACCTCGAGAGGAGCGTGCACGCTGTCACAACTCGAGTGGCCAGTTTTATTAGGCCTGAATGATCATCTGCGGTCCAAGTCCAGGAGGGTGGTAGCTGCCCCAGTTGTATGGCAGAAGGACGTGACCCTTAGACTAGTCAGACCATGGCATTCTGAGGGCATGGAGATTGTGCAGGGCCAGTTTGAATTTGTCCTTGACGAGGTCTCGAGCCACAGTTTCTCTCTGTTTTGAAGCTTTGCTTCGTGTCTGAAGGCAGATGGAACTCTATGGCTGGCCAATGCGCCCCCCACCTCAGCGAACGTTGCGGCGATTACAGGGCTGCGACTTGGCCGGATAGCCTGAGGTCAAACCTTCGCTGCAGATTCCTGCCGAAGTCTTCCAGTGAGGACAAGAACGGTCCTGTACCAAGCTGCCGCTTCTGGAGAGCGCAGGTTAGCTATTGCTCTCTTCACCGGCTCATGTTGAACCCAGAGTGCGAATGTTGTGTGTTGGGCAGCAAGGTGCAAACTCTGAAGAAGAGGTCGTCCGTTTTTTCGAGGTTCGGCTCTTGGTGCCCGAGTGCTTTGTGCTTTCTTTGTGCGTGTGGGCGCTCAGCTCGATCTTCTTCACGTCGTGTCGCAGAGATGTCATACGTCGGTGACATCAATACCCTTCGAGCTTATCATTTGCATGATTTGGGTGCCTCCCTTCTCGGCGCAGGTCCTGCTACGTGCCTCACTAAAAAGCGCCTAACGTTCTGTTGCTGTAAGAGAGTATCTGTTCTCCTCCTCGCGAGCAAGGGCACCGACAACAGCCTTCGCATGACGTGCTTGGGGTCTGTTTGGTTGGTCCACACCAACGTGGGACATCGTGGGACCTGTTCCATCAGGCTAGGCTCTTGCGCTGAATCGGGAAGACCACGCAGTCGATGATGCCAATATCCCTTCTCCTCCAAGCACAGGGTTCCAGAGTTGTGGGGGCGGGTGGGCTTGCTCAGAATTTGCTCAGACAGACACGAATTTCAGTCCGCTACCGTACAGGGCTTGCTATGCTCTTCCCGAGGAAGAAGAGTTTGAGGAAGAGCTGCGGGACGCCTCTGCTGATGCCATGGTCACCAGTGTAAAGAAGCGTTGGCTTCGAGCCGCTCCCCGACAGGACACGGAGAAGAAGATGGAGCAGCTGAGGAAGAGCACCCCTGGCCTGTGTTTTTGGCAGTTTCCTTCGAGCACCTCCAAAAAGCGCGTGGCTTTTGCAGGATTCGGTGGGGATCCTGGCGTAGCGCATGGTGGAACAGGAGGTGCAAGACTGCAAGCTGTTAGCTGTAGCTCGGACATTCAAGTGCGATGTCTGCAGTTTCGGGCATCACTGTCAGCGCCTCTGACCAACTGGCTGGAGTCGCACCGGCTGACTTGAATGCTGTCCTTCTCCCCTGGCCGGAGCCCTGAGCTCAAAATGTCGTTGCCAGGTCCGGGTACCCAACAACCTTGTACGATTTTACCAGGCAGCTCGGCCGCACGCGGCCTGCAAGATGCCGTAGCTGCCGTAGCTACTGTATGAATCAGAATTGCTGTTCGACCATCGAAGCATGAAGTAGATGATGTGTGGATTCCGAAGCCTGCGTTGAGTGCATCGGTGGTGTCTTTGCTGATACGACCGCAATCTGAAACCCTTTAGTCAGCCGTGGCTTTAGCTCGAGTGTAGGTCCCCTCACGACATGCATTAAACATTAGTGTAGCCCAATACCCAGTGACCGGAAGCCTGTCGCAGAGAAACAGTGTGCGCCCAAGGAGGAGGAGAAAATGCTGCTGGCCCAGATACACTCTGACCACGTCCTTTGCACATGGAAGACTGCAGGCTTCGCTACTATGAGGATGAGGTTCGGGCGCACGACTCAGGAGCCTCGAGCCAAAGACGCCAAGGCTTGGAATCGATTGAAGTTTGTGGAGCTTGCAGGTGTTGGCCCTGAGGCCTCTGAAGCCACTCGCAGAAGGCCCCGAGCGGGCTGCTTGAAGCATGCGTCTCCATCCCCGTTTCCCAGGACGAGCTGTTGGGCTCGGCTGCTGGCCGCGGCCTTCGAAGCTGGCAAGCTGGTGGTCTCACTTGGGTCCTTGTCTCTGTGAGGTTCCGACGCTGGGTGAAGAGCGTGAAAGCCCCACGGCCAGGAAGGCGCTGGGACGTCGGAGCCTGGAAGAGTGGCGTCTGCCGTTTCCGTTGTGTTGGGAGGCTGGCCATACTTGAGTAAAGCGAGACCCGATGACTCGCTTCTCAGCAGTTCAGTTGAGTCGATGTTGGGGAGCTTCTGGCTAAGCCAAGTTTCCGCTCCATGTCCCTTTGTGCGCCTTGCTTCCGTAGCTTTGTTGCATGGTTTCACCCATCATTGTGTTTTTGTCCCGGTCCCTCCTGAAAATTTCCCCTATCTTACAAGGCAGAATAAAGGCAAGCTTGCAAGCTGTTTGGGGCCAGCGTTGCTGCACATGGCTTCGTGGATGATATTCCTGTCCTGGGGAGAAGTGAACACTGCTGTTTGGCTCGAGTGAGAATCCTGGACCGGCCATTCCAGAAAGTTCTACCCTCAATTTCCTGAAGCGCTTTGAGGATCACAAGCCTGTTTAGTCAGGTAGTTGGGTTCCCTGAGCCTTCCTGAAACAACGAGGCTACGGCAAGCACGCGACCATGCCAGAAGAGGCACTGGAGCGGAGCAGACCCTGCAAGATATTATTGTGACAAGCCCGCAAGGCAAAGAAGGATGCTGAATCAAAAGATGTGGAGATGAAGGATGCAAAGGAGGCGGGTAAAGAAGACGGCAAGAAAGCCAGACTCTTAGCATTAGTACAGTGCAAGCGGGCGTTCGACTGCGGAAACATACCGTGGATGGGAGCGCAGCTTCTTCTTACTCCAACTACTTATGCCTTGCTTCAGGATGAGAAGAAAGAGCCCGAGAAGCCAAAGGATCCGAGGACCAGTCTGAGCAGATTTGACGGGGCTACGATGGGTCATGGCTTTGCCAGGACGCTTCTCCTTGAAGCGCTCAGCCAGAATCTGAAAACCATAGCAGCAGCGGGGGGCTCGGCCTGCGCTTAGCTTGGCTTGGAGAGGTTTGCTGCTTTGCTTGCCAAGGGGGTGTCGGCCGGAGACCCTCGAGTAATGGGACGCGTGCTGCGATCGCTCGCGAGCCTCCGCCGAAAGATGGAGCCCGAGGCCGCCCGGGATTTTTGCCAGTCGTTGTCCTCCTTGCATCCATGGGCCCTGAAGCCACATAGGTCTTGAAGGCCTTACTGGAAGAGTTTGTAGATGCAAGCCGGCCCAGCAAGGCAGGGCACCAGACGGCCGCTTGTGTCATCTTCTGTCCCTTCCTTCTCTGCACCTTGGTGTGTTGTGACCCAAGCCGCAAGATCTGCAAGCCCCAAAGCATGACACCAGCCTCTTGGGTTTACACAAGGGGCCATGCGCAAGCCCCGAAAGCATCGGCACCCATAGACAAGTCGAGGTGCAGGCGCGGAGCCTGTCTCGGGCCTCTTCTCTGCTAGACACATTTAGTACACACGTAGGTGCCCGTAGCTCACTCTGACATCTCCCTGGACTGGCCCGTTGTAGCATCTTCGAAGCCTCCTCCAAGCCATGGTGCTGTCCGCGACAGCGCGCGGTCTTCAGAGGTCGTCACCTGATGGTTTGAGCTCGTGCATCCGGCGTGCACCTCACGCTACTTCTCTTCTGCTTCAGAGGCCGTTCCGGCAGGCTGCCCTGCGATGCACCGAACCCAGTCGGCTGGAGGGACCGTCCATCGTATGATTTCTCATCTTGCCGATTGCTTTGAGATGCAGGGCGAGCCAAAGAGCTTCAAACAGGGCGGCGAAGCCTGCACGTTGCTGTCTGCCTCCCGGACATGCGACTTACGATCTTCATGCATGTGGCCTGGGCACATCCGAGATTGTTGGAAGTGGCCCTGCCGGGTTCTACACCTCCAAGTACCTCTTCAAGAAGAAGGACCGTCTGGGCACTCTTGAACCCCAGACCCTAAACCCCAAAGCCCCAAACCCTAAAGCCTAAAGGCCCGACACCGGCCGTTTTAACCGCCTCGCCCGGTTAAAGCCGAAATCGATTAAATTTTTCTGCCGCCGACCCGGCTAAAGCCGGAAACCGCTACAGTTCATGCTCCGGTAGCCGATTGAAGCCCTAAAGCCGGTCAAATGCAAGCACTTCGGCCAAATTAAATCCGAAACCGGTTTAAATGCACGTCTCGTTAAAGCCGAAAGCCTTTAAACTTTAAATGCAAAGCCTAAAACCCCAAACCCCAAACCCTAGACCTTAAAACCCCCGTCCCCACCCTGGGACCCTGACAGCCCGACAAGGCGGACGGACCGCTTCAGATCGACATGCGCAGCCCTCAGACTCCCGAAAGGGTTATTGGGTTTGTTTTTGAGTATTGGACTATTTAGGGTTTAGGGTTTAGGGTTTAGGGTTTAGGGGAGTATCGTATCGCACGGGAATATACCATACGGAACCAGAGGGTTATTGGAAAGGAAAGTCTAGTTGTTTTAGAGTATAGTACTAGTATCGTATCGCACGGGATTATGCCAGACGGTACCATAATGTCGTATCGTAGGGTACGGTATTGTAAAGGTGTAGTACAAAAAAACAGTAGACCATACTCTGCTATATGCCAAGGATGCCGGGATTCACTGTCCGAGGTTCGAGCGGCTCCCGACGCCCTTCGGGCTGGTTCGCTTCGGCGTTGCTCCGGACCACCCAGAGGTCAGAGGGTTTGGGAAGCTTTGGGGGGCCCTAAACCCTAAACCCTAACCCCTAAACTCTTATTTTTCTTAAAGGGCCGTTTGGATGCTGGTCGTCACCACAAGGCCATGAAAGACAAAAATAGAACTGTAGGGGCTTGGGGTTGGGGAAGTCTGGGGTCTCTCTTTTCTAGAAGCTCTTCCTGCCTCCAGTTGGCATTTCAGCACCCTGCCTCCGCGTGTAAGTCTGTGCTGCGAGTTACATAGTCTTGGTCTCAAGTTTCTGAAGTCTGGCCTAGAAGGGGTTTCGAGGTCAAGAACGTGATCAATGACTTTACCGATGTGGCGCAGACGCCGAACTTCAGATTCTTCGGCAATGTTGAGGCCGAACAGACATCCGCTGACCATGAACAGCAGCAATGAAAGTTAAGAATAGTTGCAATAGCAGCAATAAGAGTCATAGTAGTAGGAATATTGTTCCCATGAGCCTCTGAGCATGCAGGAATTTCATTTAAAAATGGCGACCTCGACTCGAAGGTCTAAACCCCCGTCCCCCGGCGGCGGCTGAGACTCTAAGACAGTAGTTTTGTCTAAAACAGGGTTTTAGGGTTTAGGGTTTAGGGTCTAGGGGTTTAGGGTTTAGGGTTTAGGGGTTCAGAGTTGCAGAGGTGGGGAAGGGCAGCCTGTCGCTCGAAGCGATGCGCAAGATCTACGATGCCGTGGTGCTGTGTCTGGGACCCAGTCTCCCAGCAGCTGATACATAATCTAGCGCTCGGAATGGCTTTGGAGTTTGGGGTAGGGCCGGGGTAGGGGAGTTTAGGTGGGTTCTACAAAGGTTTGGCAAGGTTTGGGGATCGGGTTCAGGGTTTGGAGATTTGGTGGTTTTGCGTCGCGGGACTTGGGGCTTCGATGTACTTGTTCCCATCGCCCAAAGTCTCTGCCGGACTGCCAATATCTGGCTTGTGGGAGTTGGCCTCCATTGTCCTTTAAGCTATAGTATAATATATTATGGTATATTATAGTGTATTATAGTATATTATAGTATA